ACAGCAGTGAAGTTCATAGGTAATTGATTATTTCATGTGACACAAAGGAAAAAGGCTGAAGCTATAGATACAGATTAGGAATCATTGGAAAATATTTGTGACTGGTATCCAAGTCATGGGATTGATTAAAATTGCCCAGGGAAAGTGAGTGTAATAGGATATGAGGACCTGTAGCAGAACACCATGGGACATTAACATTTAAGGGTATAATCAGAAGAATGATCAGAGTTAAAAGCAAATCTAGATTGGCACTTTGAAAGGTGAAGGTAGTGTATTAGGGTTACAGCGTATGTCATATTCTATAAAGGGGCAAGTAAGCAAATGCTAAAAGGAGACCTTTAAATGTGACAAGTTATAGAAAAGAAAATGGGCATTGTCATACAAACTGGAGTTTGCATCTTGGCTTTTTATTGTATGATGAAACTTTTTTACTTTCTCTGAGTTTTAGTTCTTTTTTAAAAGTAGGATAAGAGCAATCAAAAAATATTGTTCTAAATAGCAAATTAATTCAGTAAGTTTGTGTAAAGTGCCTAATGTTGTTCCCAGGGAGCTCTGGTCACTTAGTAATAAGAAGCTGCACTGCCAGCCCAGAGTTTGAATATACCGGCTGCTCTGAGGGAGGAGAATGGGCAGTCTCTCCTCATGACATTAACTGCCTCTGAAAATCCAAAATGGGTCAGCTGTAAGTTGATTCTGACTCAATGGAAAACAGCAACAGTGTAGTTCCTGGCTAATAACAGAAATCTGCTGAAGAGTAATAATAATAATGGTAGTAATGGTAGCATAAATTTGTTGATACTTTCTCAGTAGTGGTGGGGTGATAAATAATGTGGTAGCTAAAGTCTGTTGTTTTATTTTTATCTTTTTTTCAAGAAGCTTCAAAGCAAAGACAAAACTTAATTTTAATGTAAAAAGCCATTGAACTGTTGAGAGCAATATTTGTTGAGAAAAAGGACAGAAGCTGAGTATAAATGTGAGTAGGGTATGAAGGTAATGTCAACTTAATAATATTTTAAAAGTGAAAAAGGTAGAGATACCATATGCATCGTCTTTATTCATTTGGTTATCTAAAGGAACCATACAATACATCCATTCAGTGAGCTAGCCAGTCCAAGTCATCATCATCAAGTTAGAATCAACTTATACCTGACTCTTTAGTGGGTTTTTTGAGCCTGAAAATTGCACCAGAGGACATTGTCTGCTTTCTCCTTGCATCTGGTGGTAGATTTGAACCTCCCGAGAGGTATCATATTTCAGTTAACACTGCAACTCTCTGCAAACTACACAACCAGGGCTCCCATTCAAACAATATAGACCTGGGGGAAAAATAGAAACTCCTCTTAAGATAAATGTCTATGGCCCACCCATCTCCATCCTCTCTACATTTAAGTCTCCAAATCTACATATGTCAGTTATTCATAGGTCTAAAACTTCTTCATGAATAAAATCCTAGTTACTGAATTTTTTTTAACATGAGGCTTAGAGTTGAACACAGTAGTCCAGAATGCCTCTGTCCAGTAGGAAAATTCTCTTTGTAGTTCTGCCAACACGCTCATTTTACAGATGTTTGAAACTCAAGTCATGAGTAAAACTTCATGCGTTCACAGTGGGAACTGGTGGAGTCACCTATGAGGAAACTATAGGCCTGCTAGCTATTGTATGGAGTTCTTTCTGTTACAAAAAATAAAGACGAACTCTTCCACCAATATATAAAGAATCAGCACTTAAAACTCTGATAAACTAAGAAATGATTATTTGTGTTAAAGAATGTTTGTCTCAAGAATTACTAGAAAGCTAGACTTAAACGTGTTTATAAATATTTTAGAACATATTTAATATATAAGTAGATATCTGTATTTTTTGGTAATAATGACTTTAAAATTCTAAATTTCCTAGCTTTTGATTTATTGTAATCAGAAACCTAACTTACTACTAACTTAACGTAGCCTTACTGCTTAGTAGCTCAACTTTGCTTACTGAAAGTGAGGGGGACTTGAAGCACTTGTTGCAAAAGATCAATGAATGTAGCCTTCAATATAAATTGCATCTCAACTTCAAGGAGACAAACATTCATACCATTGGACCTATAAGCAACATCATGATAGATGGAGAAAAGATTGAAACTGTCAACCACTTCCTCTTATTTGGTTCCACAATTAACACCCTTGGTACCAGGAAATCAGAGACTATTGCACTGGGAAATTTTGCAGTTAGGGACTTCTCCAAAGTTTTGAGGAGTAATAATGTCAGTTTGAAGACTAAGGTGCATCTGATGCAGGCCATGGTCTTTCTGATCACTTGCTATGCATCTGAGAGCTGGACAATGAGTAAGGACAACAGAAGAAAAATTAATGTATTTTTCGCTGTAATGTTAGAGTGTTGACCATCCCATGGAAGGCCAAGAGACCAAACATGTCTAGGAGAGAGTACAGCTAAAGTTCTCTTTGGAGGCAAAGAGGATGCTTCACCTCACATAGTTCAGGCATGTTGCTAGGAGGGGCTATTCCTTGAAGAAGGACATGATGCTTTTAAAGGCAGAGGGTTGGTGAAGAAGAGGAAGACCCTCGACCAGGTAGATTGACACAGTGACTGCCGCAGTGGGCTCTAATGTGTCAGGAAGTGTAAGGATGGCACAGGATAGGTCAGGGTTCAGATCTGTTGTTGATGGTTGATATGGGTTGTACTTGACTCGATAGCACCTAATAACAACAACAAAAACTTAGTAGCTATTGGCTTATTAAGTGTTTTTCTGTGCACTGGCTAACTCTTTTATTATCTCATTTAATCTTAATAACTACCACAATTTTCATTGTGAAGAAGCAGAGCTAAAACATATCAACTTGGCCAAGGAAAATTATCAATTAAAAAATTATTGGTTAACTTTCTTCCCCTCCCCCCTTTGGGGTACTGTAATGTATTGGTTGTTAGCTCATTTTGGTTCTCTTTGCTTTAATTGTGAATTAAAACCCAATGTAGACATGTCTTCATACTTGATGAAGATATTATCTGTTGAACTGTAGATTGATCACTAATAGGAATCTCTAGTTGAGAACTGACCCTTATGGAATGAACATGCCTTACGATATTTTAGCAGACTGAGGTAGTAGATAGCTTGTTTTGGGAAAGCTCTCTTGGGAATAGTATTTTATATTTAAATGTTAGAAATGTTGAATATCACAAATATGAGTACTTTGTTGAGCACTGGAAAATTTTGGGGCAGTAAATAAGAAAACATTTGTTTGTGAAGGGCAAGTAGCTAAAAGTAGGTAAATCTTAAATATTTTATATTGAGCCTAAGCATCATGTGTCATAACATTTTACCAAATCAAGATTTGCTACTGTTTCATTGACTCTTGAAAACTGCTGAGGGTACTGTAATCCCCAATTACTTGATTTTCTTTTTAATGTGATGAAATTCTGTTTTCTCCTTTTTTATAACATTACTATGATACTTTTCATCTTTGTCTAAATGTAAATTGAGAGTATTAAGCTAAATTTCTTTCATGGACTGTGAGATATGGTGTGCTTTCGTGGTTGAGTTACTAACTTCACCTTTCAGTAGTAGTACATAGGTTATATTGAAAGGTTCATTAAATTTTCACAGGTTACTGTACATTCAAGTCTCCGTGAGTTAGGGCTTGCTAAGAACTGGTTTGATTTTGGTTTTAATGCATGGTCAGAGGATGCAGTCCTAGTCTTTGATCAAGAAGTGAAAGCTCTCAACTTCTCATGAAAAATTTGAGCTGTCAAATAGAGGCCAAATTTAAAGTATGTTGCTTCTGGCATAATATACCATTTTACAGTTTTATAGAAAGCTAAAACGGTGACTTTAGTTTTAGCTCATTAATTTAGGTTTTTTGATAACTTAATATGATGTGATAAATTTAAAAAATGACCTTTTTTTTTTTTAGATTTTGCCACTGTCTTTTAAGTAGTATATAGGTTGGTGGTTGTTATTATATACCATAGAGTCAGAACTGACCCATAGGTTTTCAGAGGCAGTTAATCACATGGAAGGAGATTGCCCATCCTTCTCCCATAGAATAGCTGGTGACCTTGAACCACTTGCCTTTAGGATTGCAACGCAGCTTCTTGCCACTAGGCCACCAGAGCTTCCTAGTACATAGGTAGGCAGGGAGGAACTGATAGAATGTAATTTTGTTATTATGTGGAGATCGTGAAATTCTTTCTGTAAAGAGCCAGATACTAAATATGGTAAATGGCATTGAGGGCCATATGATCTTTGTTGTAGATACTGGATTGCCATATGTAAATGAATGATTACAACTATAGCACAATTTAGAAAGCAGATACTGGATTGCCATATGTAAATGAATGATTACAACTATAGCATAATTTAGAAAACAGTTTAAACACAGGCAGCTGTATATATTTTAGATGTTTGTTAACTTTTGTTATTAAAATATCTTCTAATTTCAGAAACTCAAAGATGAGATTTATTTATGATGATACATTGAATACATGGAAAGGTGTTTTTAAAAACAACATAATAGAGAATGGCAATGGTACATATTACTAAAAATAGTTTTTCAGCATTTTTATGTCTACATAGATTAAGTAATAACTTTTTAATTATGTAAATACTAGTTATATGAATATTATCTTTACTTATTTCTGAAAAACTAGGGTTTTTTTAACTTGAAAGCAAATCTGCAACTTGAGATTTCCATTAATTATGATGAACTTTTTTTCCTTTGTCATAAGTAAGGAATGTTTACTGTAAAAGACATGACATAATTGAATGGTAATTTATTAAATTTATTTTGAAAAGAATTGGACATCAGTAGATTGACTTGAATAATAGTTTGTGAAAATATGCAGCAGAATCTGGGTTATAGTTTTCAGTGTTAACATTTTATAAATTACTTGCTACAAGCAGTTTTGATGCTATAATGCTGTATGGTGCCACATAATTTTAGTTTAAGTCATTTGTAGTATTACCTAATGTGTATAGATTAAATCTAATATATTCCTTTCAGAGATTCGTCAGCGAACTGTAGCCCAAAGAAGCCTTTCCCCAGCACCAGCAACTGCTAATCAGGGCCCTCCTCCACAAGTTCCCGTGTCTCCTGGACCACCAAAGGACACTTCTGCCCCTGGTGGGCCCCCAGAAAGAACTGTTAGTCCAGCTCTACCATCAAATGTGTTACCAAGACGTCTTGGATCCCCTGCTACTTCAGTACCTGGAATGGGTAAACAGAACACTTAATGTTATTTACAGTTTATATTGTTTTCTCTGGTTACCAATAAAATGGGCCATTTTCAGACAGTATGGAAATGACATTTCATTTGAAAATAGCAGAGCAGTTATCTGATTAAGCAGGAGTTCCATATTCAATTAGCCATAACTCTTTACAGCTGCCACCTTGTGATACTGAAACCTATTTCTTGAGCTCATTTAACTGTTATGGCTTCTTTGTTTAAATGGCAATAAAACTTTGTAGTATTCTGTAGTCAACAGTATAGCATATCTTTTTATATTCAACTTTAGAATGGCTCCAGATTTATATAAATTGGAGATAGAAGAATGTACTACACCCTGAATATATATATATTTAAACATAAAAATCATTTAACATATTTCAAGAATATTTCTGTGTGCATACAACTACTTTTGTAGATATTAGCTGGTAGATACTTCTTTTTTTAAAGTCATAGACCGTTGGTATTTCCTGGTCAATACTTTAGTATGACTCTCTATCATTTTAGTATACTATTTTTACTACTATCTTATTTCTTTGATTATCTCTCCTCTGCCTCTCCTCCCCCCCTCCTCCTTTTGCCCCTCATTTCCCAATATGGTAGATCTCTAGTGGAAGTTGTCATTTGAAATTTTCTTATAGAGCTTGACTGGGACATGGAAAGCCCACTTCTTTAGCAGACCGTATTATTACTTAGATTTCCATGTCATATTATTAAATATTAGTATTCAGTCATATGGTATGGAAATATTATTGATATTAATTATTACTAAGATATAACTTAGAATGGCTGTTAGGCTAGATAGTAAGTAGGTATTATTTAATCAGGATATTTTTGGAATAAAATTAATGAGTCACTTATTACCATAGGTTTTTTCCCCTACCATTTTTCTCTCCAAAATAGCACTGGAAGATTTTTAGAAAACTAAATTTACAAACTAAGAAAGTTGACTACAAATGAAATGTACACGTATTTTATGATGACATTGTCACTGGAAGATAGCCATGTATTTTGTGAAATTAAGAATACTATCATTAGGTTGATTTGAGCTATTTAAGATTTCTAAACTAATGTTTCTAATTATTTAGTAAAAAAGCTTGTGAGAATATGTGATTATGTACACTTTGGTATATAACTAGTTTTAAAGAAATAAAAGGTTAGCAATTTATATGTATATTGTACATATAAGGATAGGGTTATATGAAGAAGTTCCCTCGTCATATAAACATACATATTCTGCTAAAGTTACTAATTTCTGTATAAAAGACTGACACTTGAAACTGTTTTAAGTTCTATATTGCCAAAAATGTGAATAAGCAAAGTAATTTCTTATGTAGAAGATTAAGAATTCATTTTTTCATTATATGGTCTTTATGGAAGAGAATCAATTTAATGTGTTTTACCACAGGGCACCCATATGTTTGAAAATTAATAACCAGCAGGTACTTGATAGTTTGCCAACCTTTATAAAAATGACCAGTATTCCTACAATGATTACTTTTGATGTTTATATTTAATTACTGTTGTCTGTAATAACAGCATGATTCTGAAGAAGTGTGATTTAAAAACATAATAATATACAAGGTATTTAAGATATTGTTATAAAATTTTTTATGTTTCATATGTCCAGATTCCTTTAGGGATATTTAAAGTACAAAGATGTTGAAGTAAAAATATTTGAACAAAGATAAGTTTGCATCAGATGCTCTCAGTATCCACTTTGTCATATTTTTCAAGTTGAACATTTGATAATGATGACACCTAGTATCACTGTTCACCTTAATTTTTTTAATATTATAATTGTATAATGTGATTAACAAGTTTACTAGTAAGTTATCTGAAGAAACCTTGAAAATATACTTGATTTGTAATACTAAAGGTTTGCTCTAGAACCATAATTTCATAGATATAATTTTGATATCACTTGCCCCTTTTTTAAGGTGTCCATGGTGTCTAAATTTGTAATTATTTACAAAGCACATTTTAATGCAGTATTGCTGCCCCAAAGCACGTGACTTGAATCCACTGATTACTAAGAGGGAGAAGGAGGAACAATCTCTTCCCATACTATTTACTTCTGAAAACCCACTGGAGGCTCAGCTATGAGTTGGTTCCAAGTAGATGGCAAACAACAACCACAGTCCCCCAAAGCCAGTCTTATTTTGTTTCAAGCATTCTGTAAGATTTCTATGCCAATCTCTATTGCTGTTTTCTGTGTTATATTCATTTACCTTATTTACAATGGCAGATATTACATTTCTTTTATCTCAGTTTGTTCTTGATATCTTCATCTAGGGGGTGTCTCATTTCAGAGTGTTTCCCACAAATAATTCTCTTTGAGTTTTCAGATATTTTGACAGTATTGTTAAAATATGAATCTCTTTTTTGCATTGATACTGCTTTTGTATAATACAAATAATTATATAAATTCTGTGATTTATTCTGTAACTCCACATGCCCCATTACCCTTTTCTGATATCGTCTAGTGAGTATAAATAAGAGTATTTCTTCATTGTTGCTGCTAGTTGCTGTCAAGTTGCTTCCAACTCTTGGCGACTCAGTGTAGAGCAGAAAAAACATTTCTCGATCCTTTGCCATCTTCATGATCTTTTTCAAGTCCATTATTGTGGCCACTGTGAATTTTGAATGCCTTTCAACCTCATGAGTCTTATCTTCTAGCACTGTATTAGACAATGCTCTTCTACAGTCTATGGGGTTTTTATTGACAGATTTTTAGAATTAGGTATCAGACCTTCCCTCCCAGTGTATCCTAGTTTGGAAGCTCTACTGAAATGTGTTTTTCATGAATGACACTACCTAAAATGCAAAGAAACCCTCATTGCCATTGAGTTGGAATCAGCTCATAGCTGACCTTCCACTGAGTTTCTGAAGCTGCACAAATCTGCAAGATGAATTGTTGTTATGTGCCATTGAGTTGACTACAACTCATAGCAACCCTGAGAAAACAACTCTGAACCTTGCTGTATCCTGAGCCAACATCACAATCTCTGACACAATTGCTGTGTCATTCCATCTTGTTGAAGGTCTTCTTCTCTTGCTCTCGTCTCCAACCCTTCAAAACATGGTGTCCTTCTCTAAGGACTGGCCTTTTCTGAAACATGCCTAAAATATGTGAGCCAGAGTTTCAACATCTTGATTTTACTTTCTCCAGGACAGACCTGTTTGTTCTCTTAGCAGTCCATAGTATGTTTAGTACTCTGCTCTAGCAACACAGCTTAATGGCATTAGTTCCTCTCCTGTTGTCCTTACTCATTGTACAGCTTTCAGATGCATAGCAAGCAATTGAGAAGACCATAGCAAGAATCAGATGCACCTTAGTCTTTAGATGGACACTATTGCTCATTAGTACTCTCAAGAGGGCCCAGAAAACAGATTTTCCCAGTGCAGCTCATCTTTTGATTTCCTGACTGCAGGTCTCATGGGTGTTGATTGTGAATCTGAGCAAGATTAAATTATTAACAAATTATTAACAACTTCAGCCCTTTCTCCATCTATCTGATACTGTTTATTGGCCCTGTGGTAAGGATTTTTGTTTTCTTAATGGGAAATGTAACCCATACTGAAGGCTGTAGTCCTTTTTTTTCCCTTTTTATTGTTAAATTTTATTAGTTTTAATGAACATTTACAGAGATTTTGGGTTTTCATTCCTTCATTGCTGCACCGTTCTCTCTACCCCCCTCCCCAGTTTGTTCTTCTTCCCCCGCCCTCCGAATGTCTGTTTTAATTGTCCAATTGCCACAGTGCTTGTCAAAGCCAGTTCTGATTAATCTCCTTTGTCAGTGTGTCCTTTGCCATTCCCTATCACTCCTCCCTGAGAGAAACTTCACCCTGATTCATAAGGAAAAGGGGATGGCTTATTCTCTTAGCTACTTCCTGCTGAAAAGGGACGCTGTGGGTTTCAGGGTGAAGAGCTTCTCTCACTACTCTAAAGGGCCCCTTTGGCAGTAGGAAACACATAGACTATTATGGAGATTGATTTTGGAATTTAGATGCACTCTTATTGATTGTGCTTAGCCGTACATGTTCATATCCTTGAAGATGTATCATGGAGGTGTTGCAACCTAGAAGACACAAATTTAACTAACAAGTTAAAAGTACATGAGTCAAAAGTGAGCTTTAAAGTTGTGTCATCTGCATAACACAGATTATTGATGAGTCTGATGTCACATTCTTCCTCTGATTTTTTATCCTGCAGAGTTATTGATGATATCAAACTACTATGCAGAGTTATTGGTAGTATCAGACTACTAAAGAGGGGCTGCCTTTAGACTAGCAGCACAGCTCCCTCCTGACTATGCTACCAGAACTCTTCCCATCTAAACATAAAGATAATTGTTTTTCCTTTCCTCTCTGAATGCCTTTTGTTTCTTATTCTTACCCTACTGTTTTCTAACATTACAACTGATCAGTGCCGTTTATCACAATGTCTCCACAAATCCTCCCCTGTACCTTGTTCCCTTCCCATCCTTTACCTGTCTGCCCACTAAACTTTGCTGACCCAGCATTTTTTATTTTTCTTTTTTTAAATTTCTTCTTCTCTCATGCTCCTTTGTCTTTTTTCCATTGCTCCTTCCCAGTTGATCTATTAGGCATGTCTTGTTCCAAATTGTTAATTGCAAAGCATATATCATCTATCTGTTTCAAGTCATTTATCCCTCTTGAAAAGAGTTTAGTCTGTAGGAAGGGGTGCTGCTAACTTAAAGGCAACACCTCTCTGGTACTCTGTCTGAATCCAGAAGTGGTTCTGTGGAGTAAGATGAACAGTCTCTTTCTATCCTGTTTACAGTTTTGGAAGCTGAGTGAAGCTATGAGTTGTTTCTGACTTTGCGGCAATGACTTTGAGTTAAATGTCAATTAGTTCACATTGGTAGTAGATAGTGTTCTTAAAGTTTCTATGTTTTTACTGGTTTTCTGTTTGCCTGTTTTTGAGACAATGTTGAAAGTTCCAAATAAAATTATGTATTTGTCTTTTTTTTCCTTAAAGTTCTTTCAATATTTATTTCATGATTTTGAAGCTCTGTGGTCATGTACATCGTTGCTCTTTAGCAATTTAAAAAGGTTCCTTTTGAGGGATTTGCCCGATGCTATATATTGTTTGATTTCTTGATGGCTACTTTCATGGGTGTTGATTTTATACCCATGTAAAGTGAAATCCTTAACAACTTCAAACTTACTCTGTTTGTTTTTATGATGTTGTTTATGGTATAGGTGTATTTTTGTTTTCTTATGAAAATGTATAATCCAAAATGAAGGTTGTGTAGTCTTTGATACTCTTTTAGTAAATGCTTTTATTCCCTTATAATCGTATGCTTAAATTTCTCCTGGCCTGGCCCTTATGCTCTTGTCATACTTTTTATATATGCTGTAAAATCTTCAATAAATTGTTATTTTGGTATCTTTAAGCCATCTTTTAAAGAGATTATCTTTTAAAGATATTTACATAATAAATAATATAATTATCTTTTAAAGATACTTAAATACTAAAAGACTTTTCAATTTACCTACCATGGTAACTAGTTCCAGTGCTCTTTGTTCTTTCATAGAGAGTTAGTGTTCTGTCTGGTGTCTTTTTATTGATTTCCCCCCTCTTGAGTGACTTCTTTTATTAAAGAAAGATTTTTGTTTTAAACTGGTTTATTTACAAAGTTCATATACATTGCTTTTCACATCAGATTTTTCCCGTTTCCTTCCCTCCACCCATCAAATTGTGCGACCCTACAATTAATGCCTCTCCCCTCCTCACCCCTCTGCTCCTGCCTTGAGGGACTTCTTTTGACTGTAAACTTTTAATATTTCCTTGAAGTTCACTTCTGCAGCTGCTGCTGCTGCATTGTTGTAGCATTTTTACTTGAAGAACCTTCATTTTGTCCTTAATTTAAAGAAATATATTTTCACTGTACTCAGAATTGTAGTTTAGCAGTATTTTCTTTCAGAATTTTAAAAGACTTTGTTCCACTGCCTTCTAGCTTTTTCTTCGTTGATAAGAAATCTGCTGTCATTCTTATTTAATGTTTCCTTTTCTGACTGCTTTGAAGGCTTTTTTTATTTGTAACTAATTTTAAGGAACATGGTCATGATCTGCCTTAAGGCAGTTATTTGTTCTGAGAGTTTGTTGAGATTCTTGGATCTTTAAATTGATGGCTTTTATAAAATTTAGAATGTTATTTTGCATTATTTCTTTAAATTATTTTCTTTTCCCTGAGATTTATGGATTCCAATTTTACATATATCAGCCTGCTTGAGAATATTTGTCTACCTCTACATTTCTGTGTATATTGCTGTTGTTGTTATGTGCTGTTGAGTTGCCTGTGACTTATAGCGACCCTATGTACAACAGTCCTAAACCCTGCTCTCTCTTGTGCCAATCTTATTGTCTCCAACACACCTACCCCCTTTCACCCAGTCACTGAATCAATCCACCTCATAGAGGGTCTTCCTTTCCTGTGCTGTCTCTCTACCTTCCCAAGCATGACGTCCTTCTCCAAGGACTGGTTGCTCCTTGCAGCATGTCCAAAGTATGTCAGATGAAGCTTCAGAATCCTTGCCTCCAAGGAACAGCCTGATTTCACCCTCTCTAGGACAAACCTGTTTGTTTTCTTATCAGTCCATGGTATATTCAATACTCTTCTCCAACACCACAGCTCAAAGGCATCAATTCTACTTCTGCCATCCTTAGTCATTGTCCAGCTTCCTGATGCATAGCAAGTGATTTCAAAGACAGTGTGTGTGAATTCCATGATTATCTCTTCAAATTCACTAATCTTTGATTTTTTTAGTTTTATAATTTCTAGACAACTCTTATTGTAAGAGTTATATTTTCCTGTTTAATTGCATGATGGTGATTTTTTTGATCCAGTGCTAGACATTGTGAATTTTACCTTACTGAGTGATGGGTAATGGTTTCTGATGGCAAAGTGGATTAAGCATTGAGGTGCTAATGAAAAGGTTGAAAGATGAACTGTTCTGCTTCTGTAAATATTTATAGCCTTAGGAACTGTGGAAGACTAGTTCTACTCTGTCAGAGGATTGTTGTGAGTTAGAGTTCATTTGATGGCACTGGTTTTACATGCCTGGATATTTTTATATTTGTCTAAATATTCTTGAGTTTTCCTTTTGAGAAGCAGTTAGATGTATTGAAGAAAAACTGATCTTCTCAGGACTTGATTTTAAACTTTGTAGGGAAGGATCAGAGCAGTGTTTTGTTGTTGGTTTAGGTACTGCTGAGTCAGCTATAACTCAGGCTTTAGAGTAGGGCTATTGAGGCAAAACTGCCCTGAATATCCTACCCACTGAATGACCTTTAACATATGAGATTTTCTACTTTGGTGGGAGCAGATTAGATTCTAGCCATTGTGTGAACAAGTTCTCTTAACAATATTGTGTGAACAATATTTCTCTTAATCCCTTTGGGTGAGTTTCCTTACACATGCAAGCCTAATCAGTGTTCTGCTGAATTCTTTACGGACCCTCTATATATCTTTGGTGTTGCTTTTCTCTGCATTCTGCCCTCTCTGGTACTATTTCTCTAAACCCTAGTTGTCTTGAACTTCCCAGAGTCAGCCCAGTCGCTTCAATTCAGCAAGACAACTATGTTTCACCAGGTTCAACCTTCCTCTGCCACTGCTTGAAATCTCTTCAGACAGTAAGCTGGGTATTAATAGGGCTCATTTTACTTGTTTTTCATCTCTCAGTAGTTGTTATTCTAATATACTTAAAACCATGGCTTCATATATTTGCCTACTTATTTAGTTGTTTCTGGAAAAAGTGTAAATATGGCCATAGTAACTCTGTTGAGATTTAAAGAGGCAAGTCCCTTAACTTACTATTTTTTAAGTAAATTCTTAAACTCAGTGAATTTTTAGAGTTTTGTAAAGAACCCAACATAGTTTCACTTTCTAATAGATTATGGTGGTAGTTCTGAGGTAGTACATAAACTTATTTTGTAATAAAGCATTTCTAATGTAAATCTGAATACTTTTAAAGATTTTTAGAAATGAATAATGTTATTTGGAAAAAATATTTTAGGATTATAAGCATAGATCTTTCTTTGTCACTGAATTACTTTTTAGAGTTTTATTATTTATTTGGCAGGTCTTCATCCTCCAGGTCCACCTTTAGCAAGGCCCATTCTCCCTCGAGAACGAGGTGCTCTGGATAGAATTGTTGAATATTTAGTTGGTGATGGTCCACAGAACAGGTAAGTTTTACTAGTATGTTCTATGTTTGAAAATTAAGAATATGCTCATTGGTGAAGGGGTGTGTGTGTGTGTGTGTGTGTGTGTGTGTGTGTGTGTGTTTTGGATTTCTTATAATTTTATGGCTCCTGGTTCCTAATTTTAGAATTTCATGAAGTATATTATAGCCTTGGAAAAACATCATCTTCAACTGTTGTTTAGTAGGAGTCTTGATCAGATAATCTATATGAAATGTATTTTGAAAAACATTAATATCAGCTCTACTATAAGCATAATTAAAGAAATTGAATAATTTCATTGACACCTTTAAGCTTAAAGAGCATAAAAACTAGTAGAATGTAAGAAATATAATTTTATAAATGTTAGCACTGAACTGGATGTTGTGAGGATTTTAAAAATAATGGTGGTTATTTATATGCATGTATTTACAAAATTTTTCCCAAGTATTATTTGATATTGCTAATAACTCTGAGAAGATAAACGTGATATAAACAAAGCTACTGACATAGTACTGACTTTTAAAACTGTGTTTAATAGTAGATACTCATTATTATTTGATCAAGAAGCCAGAATGTAATGTTACTATAATAAATTGTATAATATATAAAGCAATTAGAATAAAGATTGGTATTATTATTTGGTAAGTACCTACAGAAAGAACAGATAAAGTGTATAAATTGAACATGAGCAAGATATTTAAGTATAACTGGAAAAGGTATTAGAATCCTGATGTATAAACTCTTGGGCTAGACTAAACAAAATTGGTTCAAGCTTCCCTGAAGGCACTGGCAAAAAAATAAGACCCTGGGAATCAATGAGATAAATATTGACATGTTTTCACCAACAGAAGCAGCTTTGGATGTGCTCACCAGTCTATGGAAAGAAACTTGGAGGACAGGTGGTTGTTATGTGCCATCGAGTTGTCTGCAACTCATACTACTCCTATATACAATAGCTCTGAACTCTGGCTTATCTGAGCCAATTTAACTGTCTCTGACACACCTGCCCGTATTACCCCAGTCACTGTAGTAATCCATCTCATCTGGGATCTTCCTTTTCTGAATTTTCTGCATCATCCCTCTACCCTTCAAAGTGTGATGTCTTCTCCAGGGACTAGTCCATCCTGGAAACATGCCCAAAGTATTTGAGATGGAGCTTCAAAATCCTTGCCTCCAATGAGCAACTTGGTTTCACCCTATCCAGGATGGACATGTTTGTTCTTTTGGCAGTCCATAGTATTTTCAATGCTCTTTTCTAACATGACAACTCAAAGGCATCGATTCTTCTGTCCTCTTTAGTTATTGTCCAGTCTTTTTTTTTAAATATTTTTTTTATTGGGAAAAACATATTGGGGGTACAAGGAGGTGAGGGTTGGGGGCAGAAGGGTGAGGATGGGCCAGGATGCAGTTGCAGAGCTGCACAGTTTGGT